TGTGTCTTACTGTATCATGATCATTTATAATGTATTATGTTGTGTTACATTGTGTTACGATGTGTTTTGTAGTGTTTTACTGTATGACAGTCTCCCAAATCTATAAACAAAAGCATTCAGATACCCCATCTAATTAAGTGAAACGAATTTGCAACGAAATGACGTCGTATTAAGTTTGAAGAGTAAAAGAGAGAACCGTGATTCCACCTGACTCGAATCGAACGATTGCCAGAGGCGTTCCAACACCGCGGACTTCCTGTTTCGTCTGCGCGGTTCGTTTGCTCACTGTTAGCACCACTTTTGAAACAGCCGTGGCCTGTTTACATAGGAGACGCGGTGCAGAGCTCTAATGGACGACAAAGTCGAACCAGCAGGGGCCATTTATCGTCGGGCTCTCTCGCTTAGCGCGTTTAGCACCGGATCAACTGACCGCATAATCATCGTCGTATGAACTGGAATAATGACTGCCGCGAGAAACGCTCCGAGCTAAGTGAATTAGTGGTGCGTGCCCTTGTCCTTTTTTTCTTCTCACTTCTCCACGAGCGCAGGCGTACTAATGTCACTCAACGTTTAAGAACCTCGAGCACGTTGCTCCGCCGCGCTTATCGATTAGGCTCGCCTGTTTTAGGCCTGTACACGTAATCCTGCCACGTGTTACTCAAATCCTCTATGAAATCCTCTATGAAATCCTCTATGAAATCCTCTATGAAATCCTTTATGAAAGGGTTTCCAAGAGAGGATACTTAACCCTTTGCAGTCCAGATTTTCCAATTTCAATGCAATTCTGTAAATTTCATGTACAGCCAGTCCCATAAATATTCGTACCATCTATTAACAAAATTTGTATAAATTAAACGGTAGGTTTAAGGTTCCCAAATTAATTTTTTATTGAGTGTATAAACGCGCAAAGTCTATTTGTGTAAACCTGACATTTTATTTAGACAAATTTCTTCAACATTCATAGAGGATACGAATACTTATGGGACTGACTACAAATGTGGCAATGCATAGTAAAATCAGTAAGAGTCTCGTGTCACCTGCAAAGAAATCGTTACTACCATTCTAATAACCTACTTTCAGGCTAATTATTTGAACGATGTCGAAGACGTACTGCAAAATAATCTCTTATTTTCTTCTGTTTCCTCCCTTAGTTCCTGTCGTAGCTGTGAGTGCATGAAATGAAAAAAATGAAATACGTGTCACTCGTACGATTCAAGCGAAAGTAGCATACACTTCCTTACAATTTCCAGCGTATTCAGGGTATTCTTCCTCTTCGGCCACGAATAAATTCCGTCTGAAGCGCCGGATCGAATCTCCAGTGTCCGGAATATTTAGCGTTCGAGAGGCAGCGCGACACCTGCCTATCCGAGGCTCCACTCGAGATGTTCGGAGCGGATCGATCTCGAGAAAAAGGCTGGTGCAAGCGAGCTGCGGCGTTCATCGTCAAGAGCACCATCGTCTCCGGGGGGCGACAATGTGAACGTAGTCGGCCGAGTAGCCGGTGATAATCTCATTGAAAGAGGAGTTAAGCGTCGCGGGCTTCCTGCCAATTCACCGAGCCAAGTGTCACCTTAGCGTAGTCAATGCCGCCACGAAATTGCTCGGTGGCTTCGGGCTCAATGAGGCCCGCTACTATTTCACTCGGAGGATTTGCCTAGATAACCGCGCCGGATAGGCGTGCCAAGTTAGCCCGGCCATTGTATTTTCCGCAAGTTTCTGAATGGACCGTGCCCCCAGCGCCGGAGGCAACTGGCTACTGGCTTCCAATGGATCGGAAACGCAAGGAAAGGGTTTAGAGTTAGCTTTGAATCGTGCAAGAGTGGACAATCGGCCGCGGTCCGAATTGTTCGCCGGGGAACGGCGCGAGGAAACTTTCCTGGAAACTTCCGGCCGTCTGCAGAGACTCGTCGCTCGAGGGACGTGACTTCCAGAAAGGGGAAATGCCTGGCTTGAACGATGCGTTTCTGAATGAATCTCCCGGACGGGGTAACGGAGTTTTCAGGTGGATATTATTTGCGATTTTGTTGGAAGTTTTGTTGGAAGGTTTGTTGGAAGGCTTCGTTGTTGCGTCCTGGGTGACGAAGGAAGACTCTGGGTCTAGAAGGTGCAGCTGAAAAAGGAAGACTAGGGTTAATTTGGACGGAGTGAAGTTCATTCGGTGAAACAGAATAATGTAGTTGTAGATATGATGTATATAGTGGTTTGCCTGGAAAGTCCATGCAAGTTTTCGGTACGGGGTACAGATCTGAATATATTGGGATAGTTTAAGAAAGATGACAATGTACATCCCTTGAAAGGTGCAATGGTCGTGGAATAAAATTGTTACTTATGTCATTCAATAAATATATATAAAAATTCATATGTGCCTTTGAAATTTACTTAAAAATTCCTACGAACTTTCTGGACAACCCAATAATTCATTTCTTCATTTGTGTTTTAGCAGTTTTTTATCATTGAAACGTTAAAAACACTTGGAATGGCGTCCATCTTATAATAATTCATTTTTCCCATGTACCA